TGGCCGTGGCACATGACTCCCCCACCCGGCCTGGCCAGGAGCCTGTAGGGGGAGGTCTGCGCACTGGCCGACCCCTCCGCCTGCCCGGGGCCCCGGGTGGGCCATGCTCTGCTACCCCCCTTCCGGCTTCCCGGGCTCAGCGTGCCCTTCCCGGGCAGCGATGCCAAGGCAAGGAGCCAGGACATGTTGGCCAGAATCCTTATGATACCGGGAGCTCATCTGCTGAGGCTCGGTGTTCTGTACGTGTAGAACTGGGTGGGTGGCCCCCTGTGTCTGCCTCCCGGAATTACTGGATTATTAGAGTCAGATGAGCAGCATGGCCCAGGGGGGAGACCGTCTCACAGCAGGGGCCTGGGGGCACCTCGTGCTACTCCACCCACCCTGGCCAGAGGTGGCATGCGCCTGTGGGGTCCTGTGCCAGATGCCCTGGAGAACGATGGCCAGTGCCTTGTCTTTTAGGAAGGTGAGGGAAAGGGGCGCTTGTCTGCCCCAGCCTGCTCCCAGGAAGTGCAGTTGACTCCGTAAAGTGGTGGGGCTCCCGCTTCTGGAAAAGGGCTAGGTTTTGCACATAGCCCCAGAGGAGGCCACTGGGAAAATGCGCTCACTTCCTCTTCCCCCACCTCAATTCCCTCTCTTCCTTCCCTCCACACCTCCTTCCAGCATACTTTATCCAATTTACTTCCACTCTGTGGCTTTAGCTTCACATTGATCTGATTCATCTTTCCAGTGGGGTTGGATTTGTCTAGAAGGCATTTGAGCATCTTCCTAGTGACTTTCCAGGGTAATGAGCAAGACTCTTTTTGGAGTTGGGGGGCATGGAGTTGGGAGGGGACATGAAAATATTGCAAATTCTAGAAACTAGGCTTTGAGCAGTCTTGGCAGAGCTGACTGATCCCACCCTGGAGTGTCCTGCACCCCAGAGAAAGCTGTGGTGTTGGTGGGGGGCGTTTGGGGCATTAATAGCTTTGCTGTGCTAGTTGAGTAAAAATGAAAATGTCTCATGGGGGCGCCTGGGTGGCTCAGTTGGTTAAGCGACTGCCTTCGGCTCAGGTCATGATCCTGGAGTCCCGGGATCGAGTCCCGCATCGGGCTCCCTGCTCAGCGGGGGGTCTGCTTCTCCCTCTGACCCGCTTCCCTCTCGTGCTGTCTCTCATTCTCTCTCTCAAATAAATAAATAAAACCTTTTAAAAAAAAAGAAAATGTCTCATGGCCCTGACAGTGATGCTTCCTTGGATTAACTCTCTCCTGCATGTCCTAGGACAAGCTAGAAGAGGACTCGGGTACATTCAGACCCAACCTCCTCATGGAACACAAGCCCAGGGGGGCAAATACTCGAAGTCACACAGCACAGTGGCTGTGCTGGCCAAAAACAGGGGCTCCTCCCCATGGCTGCTCGTTCAGTGATTAGAGCTAGATGCAGAATTAATTCCTGACTGCCCTCACCAGTACCTGTTTGGTTTTCTGCCCCCCCCCCCAAACTTCTGTCTCTTCTGTGGGGGTGGCCAGGGGGTGTCCCCTCCAGCAGCGTCTGGGTTTATTCAGCTTGTACTTTCTGAATGCAGGATGTATATCAACATCTCCAAACCACTGTGGAACTGCACCTCCCTCCCTCACCCCAGGCCCTCTTGCTGGCTCTTGTGTCCACAGGGTGGGCTGTTCGTTACAGAGCTTTTAGTAGCGAGGCCACAGGAAGCTCTGTGATGTACTTGCCAAAGGCCATTCTTGGTGAATACAGCTGTGACCTTCAACTGAGGAGGGGTATGTGTGTGTATACATAATTTTTTAAATCCAGAAGTTCGCTTAAGTTTCGTAACATTACAGCTACCATTTATTGTGTCTCTCTACGCCTGCTGCTTTTACAGACCCTATGGGACATAAGCAAGTTTCATAGGCAGCAGTAGAGTTTTTATCGATGCAGAATCTGAAGATGAGCAAGGTTAAGGAACTTGCACAAGGTAAAGTAGCTGACAGAGCAGAGGATTTGAACCTAGGTCAGTATAGCCGCAAATCTCTCACAGTGCCCTGCCACCCATTCATTATCCAGCCCTGGCCTTGCCCAAGAAAACATGTTGCTAGTTTTTATTTTGAGAATGAATGGGAAAGAAGTTGGAACCAAATGTGCTTACAGATCTACTGGCTGACACTTCACTTATACCACAGTGTTGAGATAACACTTCTGAAAATTGTCTTCCATAGATTGAGATAAGCACGATTTCTGTCCTTGTCTTCTTGTTGTTTCTAAAATAATGTAGCTTTTCCTTCAGTGTATTTTATCACATTAAAAACAAAGTTGGCTTTTTTACTGATAAAAAAATTTACATCTTTATTATAGAAAATACAGATGTTCACAAAAAAGAAAAGTGATCCCAAGCAACACACCAGCTTTTGGCTAAGAATATGGGCACTGGAACTATCCTGCAGGGGTTTGAATCCCTGCTGTGTCCCTGGTGATGTGTATGACCTTGAGCTAGTCACAACTTCTTTGCCTGTTTCTTCGTGTGTCTTTGAAGTTGAAAATTATACCCTGCATCATTGAGTTGTTTAGATTAAATGGTGCAAAACCCTTAGAAGTGACCGAGATGTTTGATTAACACCTCAATAATGTTCTGATTTTCCTCTCTGAATCTGTATATACATGTGTAAATATATATATGTGTGTATGTATATTATATAGTATGCATATATTAAGAAAATGAGATTTTAAAAAACACAACTAGTTTTCATCTAACGATATATCATGACTGCCTTTCCTTACTTCTGAATAGTCTTTTCTATTACTTGGTAGCTGCCTGGAACCTCATAATGGGATAGTGTGAATGGAACTGAATCCATATTGTGGGCCATGCAGATTTCCAGGGGATCTCAGCTGGGGATCTCAGCCTCTGGGGTCCTTCCAACTGGGGATTTTTAGGGGATCTCAGCCTCTGCCTCTTTTCCTTCTTCCCCCTTAAATCTATAAAAGCTATGTTTCTTCGTTTAATATCTCTGGTATGAATTATCTCTTGGTTCCTGAGAAATCACAAGTCAGAAAGTACTCTTCTTCTGTTTTTTGCTGTGCCTGAGGTACTAAGAAGGTGTGGTGTCCTTTTTAAAAAGGGGTTAGAGGAGAAACCCTAAGCTGCTCTGCTTTCTGGGGTGGACCCCTAATGCCCACCCTTCTGGGTGGGGAGCTGCGGGCAACTTCTGTGCCATCTCAGGCACCAGACCCTGCCATTTTAGTTTTATGAGTTTCTGGTGACATGCTTATTTGATGATTTTATTGATGTAGAATTCTACTCGCTGGTCTGGGATTAGGTCCCCCGCCCCTTCTCTGCTTTTAGCCACTAGCAAACCAATAGGTCACAAGTTTGAAAATCCTACTCTTACCTCTCCACCTCTAGCCCTAGGGGTGTGTTATATATGCAGACTCAAGTGATGTACTTGTTAGAGAGTCTGAGCTCCAGAAGGCAGAGAGAGTTACGGGTGGAAGTGATTTAGGGTCAGTAGTCTCTTGTGCAATATTCCTCTTAAAAAGACTATGGTTTTAATGAGATTTTCTCCTAGAGCCTAATCCTGAGTGTTTGGAACCTGTCATTTTAAACCGTATATCTTCTAAAGAAACTCAGCTACATTCCAGGACACTGTTGCCCGAACAGCCTCAGACACGGCCATTTTCTGATGATGTTTAAGGGACAGGCTTGATTTTTCACTCTAATCTAGGGAGTACATCCTCATCTCCGAGAAAGGGTAGAATATGCTAGATAGGGCAATGAGTCTGCCAAAATTATGGTGGTGCCAGTATGTCTGAGGTGTGCTGGGATGGCATCAGGACTGAAAAAGAGAAATTGTGTATGCCATATTGGAAAGAGAAATGACCTGTGTATTCCACATTTGTAAAGCTCCAAGTATCAATTCCTCTCTACAGTGTTTTCCAAAGTCCATCTTAACGTCTCCTTCTGATGTCTTCCCTGGGAGAAAGGTTAAGTAGCTTGCACTACTGATGAGGATACTGAGACAAGCAGAGGCCAACTGACTTGCCTTGGGCCCTGGAGTAACGCTGGCAAGAGTGCAGAGCCAGGGCTGCCTTGGGGAAGGTCCTCTCAACAGAGGCAGGAAGAGCTCCCAGCCAAGGAAAGAGCATTTTGCTCAGCCGCATTCGTGTGAGTCCTGTTTGGGGGCTGCTGAGCCAGACAGCGCTGGACACTTCAAAGTCTCAGTTCAAGATCCCTGACCGATAATCTGCTTTGCTGCCTTGAGCTAAGCCGAAAGAGTGATGGATGGCAGAAGTCGATTATTTTTGGCTCAACTGCTCCATCTTGGCAAGGGGCCTTTACATGTAAACCTGACATCCACAAAGGGTTTAGGGACCTGATGTCATTTTCTTCCTACAATTCACACGTTGGCCTGTGCTGTAGATGGAGTTACCAGTTACGTGAGGGTCACATTCCTGTTCAGGGCTCCCTACAATGAAAGGATCTAATAAGGCAAAATATGTAATGAGGCTATAGAGATGGCTTCTAACACAGAGGGTCCCTACATCCTCTTCCACCCCCCAGCAGCCCGGCTAGAGCTTGGATTCTCTTGACTCACTGCGTGCGGGAAAGCAGCAGGTCCTCACTGGTTTAATCCCCACCTTACTGCTTACAAGTTGGTCTAAGGCTGATGGGGTCCTTCTTTTTGAGCTTTACGTTTTCTTAGCCGAAAAACGGAAACAGCCACTGTTAAGGCTAAAAAGCCACTTCAGAGATGGAAGGAGATGAAACTGTATCCAGTCCAGTGAGAGTTGGCATGGGGTCTCAGAAGGGGTTGCCACTGTTCCCGTGCCACCCAGACCAGCCTCTTTTGTGCTTGGTTCTGTGCATCTTAAAATGTGCGGTGAAGCAGAGATTTGTCATCTGGGGCTTGGAACTCTACACATTTTCTTGGACCGAGCCACTGATTTTCATGGAATCCAAAGCCAGATACAGTGAGGGGATGAGGCCAGACTGACCTGACCTTTATCTGTGTTTTGTCTGGAACAGGGGTCCCCGGTCACCTCCCTTGTGCTGTTCTTCCTGGATGGAACAAGAAAATAAACAGGGTGTGTGTGAAGCCCAGGACTCAGCAGACCAAGGGATGGGCTCTGATTTTGAGAACTCTGAAGACAGGGAACGGGACCCAGAAGAAAGAGGAATGGGCTCTAAGCCACAGGACGCAGACAAGAGAGAAGGCCCCCCACAGCAGGATCTGGGCTCCAACGCACATGATGACGCTCTGGGAGGGGACCCAGAGGAGAGGGATCTGGTGTCTGACATCTGCCCAGGTGAGGAAAAGCTGGCATTTCTGTAGAAGTTGCCCCCCTCACAGTTATTTCTAGCGCCTCTAGAGTTAGAACCAGCCACAGCATTCTTTGTGGGAGAGCCCTCTAGCAGAGACCATTACATGGATTCTGTACGACCTTAAGCCTGAGGAACATCCTTTTCTTCAGTCCAGTCTGAGGTGGGCTGTTCTGGTAGATGTGGATGAAAAGGGTAACTTCGCTGGCGCAGCACTTTACGGCGTACAGAACACTGCTAGAAATTAACACCAGAGGGAACACAGCTAACATCAAAACCTACCTCATCAGGTTATTGGGGGGAGTTCAGATGACCTGCTTAGCGCAGCCCTGTGCTAACAAAGTATGCAGATGTTTGCAGTTACAGTCACCATCGTCTTTGTTTGCAGATAAGGAAACTCAGTGGTAAGTGACCTGCCCAGGTTTATGTGGCTAATGCCCAAAATGCTCAAGGCCTCTGCTAAATCCCTTGCTGTTCCTGACCTGGAAAGAGGGAGTGCTGGCCCTCCCCCTCCGTCCACCTCCTCGGTCCCATCTCTGGGTGCTCGTTGCTTTATACTGCTCTGTGCATGGTTTGGGGACAGAAATGAATGGAAATCCCTACGGTCAAGACTAATGAGGTTACATCCCCTCCCCTGTGACGCATCCCAGACTTCCTGCTGCTCTCCCCTGCAGTGTGCACAACACCTAGTGTTTCCTATCTCAGTAACTCTCTGGAGTGCCCTCTGCTCGGAGGTAAGCAGTCAGAGACAGTTGTGTGTTCTGGAAGTCTCTAAGCCGGGATCACCACCACCAGGTCCTGTGCTCACTCCTCCTGCCTGGCTTACATAGTAAAGCCCTTAAGCTGGGGTGTGTTTGGTTTGTTGTCCCACCCTCAACAAGTTATATTTTAAAAATCAGCCTATTACCTGGTTAGGACAGGTGATCTTTTCCTGTGGTTGGCTGGAGTGGCCTTGTCTTTTGAGGCCAGGTCCTTGAAAGGCATTGGGAGCTGTGAGAGTGAGCTGATCTCTTCCGAGACCCCCCCGAGTCCCACCTGGCCCATTTCAAGCAGACTGTCAGGCCTTCAGATGGCTCTGCTGAGCAGAGCCTCAGGTACAATGGGTAGGGCCTGGGCCCCAGAGACCGTTGCTAGAAGAACTGGCCAGCCAAGGGGGTGGGTGAGTGAGCTTTGTTTGCCTGGGTTTCAGAGCACACTCCTGTAGGCCTTCCCCAGGAGGCACCAGGTGGGAAGGAGGCTGGAATCGTGGGGGCCTTGGAGAGAGAGGTTGAGAGTATCTGGGGGAGGGAATTTCTCCATGGCCCGCACTCTTATTGAGACTGGCTTTTTCTGGGTTTCCCTTTTGAGCGCCAAGTATAGTCACCCCTGTGCCACCTTCTCTGTTGCAGAGGGGCTGCTGAGTGAGGAAGAAGGGGCCGCGCTCCGCGAAGATGATGATTACCAATCTGGTGTAGCTGAGATGGCGATGTTCCCGGGACTGTCTGAATCCGACAGCATTTCCCGGAGCCCCCAGGAAGAGGAGGAGGAGGAAGAGGAGAGCGCTGGGGAGAACCGGCTCGACGAAGAGGAGCAGCCGCCCCCTCCCATGCTTCCCTGGAGGCGGCACCTCTCCCTAGGCAGTCGGCACCGGAGCGACAAGCCGGCCCACCGCCGCTTCCGCCGGCTCCATCACCCCATGGCCATGGACCTCGGGGAGCTCGACAGCCTGATGGCCAGCATCATGGACGCACCCACCATCTGCCCCGACTGCGGGGAGAGCTTCAGCCCGGGCGCCGCCTTCCTGCAGCACCAGCACATCCACCGCTTGGCGGAGGCCGCGGCCGCCGCCAGCCTGGAGCCCTTCGGCTTCGCGGGCGAGTGTGGCGCCATGGTGGGGATGGTGGGCGTGGGCGTGGCGGGGGGC